ATTTGTCACATTTATCAACCGGAGCATATATTTAGCCCTACGGTTTGAGTTCTCTCCAACCCACCACACACTAATAAACTAGATTCACGTGCTTTAAGTGCATTTTTATTTCTGACTGAGAAGTTGGCTATATTTTTAATTTTAGAAGCCACACACCTATAGGATGCCATCGGAAACTACAGAAAGAGAAAGATAAAATTTAGATTATCTTCCTCATAATTTTCAATGGGGTATCAGCCTTGTGAACCAGTTTATAAATCCTTCTTACCAAGATTTCCTCTTTGTCTCTGCTTTTCTGTCAAGTTGAATTTTCATTCACAATGCATTGAAAGGCAGTATGGAGTCATGCAACATTAAACCAGTTACAAACTGGGGACATTATATGCCAACGGTGATGTTCTTGACTTATACAGAAAATTCTCTATAGTGGATAAAATTGTGTTACTCGAGTTTCTGCAATACTGAAGCTTTGATGTTAAGTCAAAAAAATAGGACCAAATGCTTTAATGGAGGCAGTGCTGCATATTTTCTAAGGCATCTGTAATTCAAACTCTTCACTGGCACCAGGAAATCATTGAGATAATATCATTAATTTTCATTAAAGTAGGAGTTAGTAGAAGCGACCTTAGGTTGGAAAAGCTAGCCAGGACAAGTTTTATTTGCCTGTACCACAGACAATAGCTCTTTATCATGACTTTGCAGGAACAGAAATGACAAAAAGGCCGGAAGATCGACCTAAGCAAATATAAAATTAAGGGGAAATCCTTAAATCATTGACTGAACAGTTAAGTAACGTGACCATACATGTTTTCAATAATAAAAGGATTAGTGAACCCTTCATTCTACGTTCATGCTACCCATGGAACCCTCCTCTACCATTCTTGAGACTCCAGTACTTAATTTAGATAAATATACCCTTAATTTTGGTATACCTAAACCTTTTCCAGATACGAGAAAAGTCATTCTCAAAAAGGAAATGCTGAGAATTTCAAATCTGTTTAAATGTAAAAAGTCTACATTCTACATTCAGAGCTTAACTTTATTACAAGGTTATATAACCTGAAATGGTCAAAATTTTTTATAAAATCAAATATCCCTGTTTCTCCAATGTTTATCGGAAATTTTAACATAAATTGAAATGATAGACAATGAGGCATATGTGAATAGAATTATTTTTTTAACAGAGAACTAAATAATGCTAAATCCAAGGTCAAAAGGACTATTATGGAAAGGGACAGTCATTGTAAAGTTTTCTAATCTAGTCTATTTCTGGGCTTTTTCATAGTATTACCTGGAACAGCTGATTATCACTTTTGAACGTTTAGGATCTCGTCGGAATAAGCTATATATAAAATAGCACTTTGTAGTAAATAGTTCATAATTACCCTGTTATCAATGGAAAGCAGTGTCTCTATGATGGGATAGGGACAGAAGAAAAAGAAGCAGAAGACTTTCTCCATCCAGCCCTCTGACTCTGCCCCACCCCAAACTGCTTCTTTCCAGCTCTGGTACATTAACAGGTCACTAAGGAAAATCCTAAGCCTGGAGAGTCCTTTAAAAGCCACTTAAACTTGGCAGCTATATATCTGAAAAATGATAGCTTCAGACTATAAGCTGTAAGGAAATAAAAACCTAAATTTACTTTCAGTCATGCATCCACTCCATGAAAACGTATTAAACTGTACTCAGTGCCAGGCTTTCTGCTAAGCATTGGAGAGACCAAGATGAAGAGGAAAAATCTACTCTTGCCTTCCAAATAATTCCACTTCTAAGATCTTTCTTGTCTATCTCCATTTAAAAAAATCACTTGCCAGTGACCTTCCTTGACCATCTTATTGCTGGCCTCTGCAGACCCCCTGGGTCAGACCCCTTCATTCCTGAAGACTGGCAGCCAGAGTTCACCATCCTTCTTCTTCTCTTCCCCAGCTCCAATTCTGGATGATTTCAACAATGGCATGGCATGGATGACTCGTGCATTACTCCAGCTTCTCAGTTCTTTAACTTCCTATTTTCCATGGAAACTCACATCTGCTCCACCTCGGCCACCCACTCAAACGGTTGTGTCCTAGACCTAATCTAACTCGGAACTGTTCCACTTCTGAAATAATGTTTAGCTATGCTACTCTCTGACGACACATTTCTGGCCTTCCTCTATCTCCCTGAACAGTTAGGGTCTTGATCCCCCTACCTCCTAATTACCAGCTCCCACCTGAATCCATAGCTTCTCATACCCAACTCGGGCTTGACAGACATCACTTTAACGACCTACCCATTCTTTTGCCCAGATCCTCACTTCTCTTGCCCAGATGTCTTCTGCCCACCCTGGGGCAGAACCATTCAGTTCCTGACTGCTGAGTGTGCTTGGAGCAATATCCCACCCCTGCAGATTGGGGCTGCTGTGAGATGCTCAGCTGACTCTGGGCTCCATAATGCCGCTTCTCAAATTAGCCCTCTCTCTCATTCTCCACAAAGGTAAGCCCACCCTCAACTTCATCACCTTCCACTGTTAATTGCAGCACAGAAACTCTCCCGCCACCTTCACAGAGAAAACAGAAACCTGCTGGCATCCCTCACCTTCCTGTCACCAGGTCTCCTTACTTACCTGGCCCTGCACAATCCTTTCATTGGCACCACTCACTACGGTGGAAGAGAGGTGCCCCTTCCTTCTCCTGGACTCTGGGTTGCCTGCCCCTATCCTATGAAACCTCATTTTTCATGAGCTCCTCTTGAGCCAATAATTTCAATCTTGTCCTCTCTTCTTCTCATATTCATTTAAATACACTCAATTGTCTCTCAACTTGTATGCATGTATACTTCATTAACTCCTCAGCCCCTTCCAGGTAACTATCATCCCTCTTCCCTCTCCTTCACAACTAAATTTTTCCAAGAATTGTCCATACCAACCATCTTTACATCCCCACCTTTGATATACTCGTAAGCCCGTTTCACCACCTCTACCATGCCTGTAAAATCTCACCCAAGTTACTAAGGACCTCCTTAGTTGTTAAATCCAATAGACTCTTTCGCCAGCTTTCATCCTGAGCTCCTAGCAGCATTGTATAGTATAGACGATAGCAGGCCCCTTCTTTCTTCCCATGAAGTATGTAGTACTTAACCTTTTCGTATTTTCCTTCTCCTGCTCTGATCATTCTTTCGTGGTCCCCTCTGTACACTATTCACCCTCTGTCCGAAATACTAAATACTCTTTTCTTTCTCCACACTCTCCCTGAGCATCCACATGCTAACGATTCCTAAATATCGCTTGTATATTTGTCCTGAGCACCAAAGCTTTATGTCCAGCTCTAACGGGCAAGTCTACCACTCATCCCAGCTGAGCACCTAAGTATCTTCCTTGATTCCTCCTTACTCACCATGTCTAATTCATCACTAAGGACTATCAAGTATTTCTCAATTCTCCCCACTTACCGCCGTTCCTACTTTACCAATTCGGGCCACCACGTTGCTGGTTTAGATTGCTGAAACTTCTCAACAAGTCTCTCTCCTCCTGTCAGTTGCACACTTCCCCCACCCCTCAAACCATGCTCTGTTCCACAGCCGGAATGATTTTTCTAAATGAAAACCCCATCATGTCATCCCCTTGCATGGCTCCCCAGTGACCTCTAAATTCTTTAAGTTAAATTTAAAAAGCCTTTCACCATCTGCTTCCCACTTTTCTCTCAAGGCAAATATTTCACCATAGCCCCTCCTGGAACTCTATGCTTTAGCCATGCTGAAGTATTTTCAGTTCTTGGATGTGTCTCTAGACTCCACGCCTGAGCACACTCTTCCTAAAGTGAACTCTATTTACCCTTCTGGATTCACATAGCCTAGACATCACCTCTTCAGGCAAACCTTCTTTGAACCCCACCCCCCCACACACACACAACTAGCTGTCCTCACAGTATCCTATTCTTCCACTGTTGCATGACTAAATAAATACATGACTCTGAAATTGTCTCTTCGCTTTCCTCAGGGTGCCCATAAAGCCTGGTAATAGAAACAATATCTCTTTCTTTCTCTCTCTTCCTCTCCCTCCCTTCCCCTCTCTTTTTTTCCTTCCTTCCCTTTCTTCTTTTCTTCCTTTCCTTCCATCCCTTCCCTCCTCCCTCCCTTCCTTCCGTTCTTACAGATTGTAGCTGTTCTTGAAGATCTTACATACAGTCACCTATGTGTCCATCTTATGGACATCCTGTACATCCCCCTAATTATACTGTAAGTTGCATCGGGGTAGGGACTGTGCCTGTTTGTTTCATTGTCATGTCATCAACGTACATGGGCACTCAATATTATACTATATAATCTATTCTGCTGATAGCAGTTATGTGAACTATCTGATGAAAAGACAGAGCTAGATAACACGTCGGAATTTTCCCACTGATGTACGATATTTAGCAAAAGCAGAAAAACAATCCTGTCACCTTTCTTCTATCACAGCATACATCTGAACATTAGCATTCAAGCTAAAAAACAACATACACATACATACGAGCTTTGGTTCAGATAAGGCAATCTAATACTACTACTTCTAATATGAAATATATTTTGTAAGAAGAAGAAATAAAGGTAGAATGGGGGAGATAATTCAAGTTTCATAAAGATAATTCTGGATGCCAATGCCATTAGTAGCTGAGGAATAGTGAGGGGAATGATTTTAAATAATATAACAAAATAATCTAGGATAATGCTAAGCCAAAGATACTTTTAAAAAATGAATTCTGAGGGGAGAAGAAGACAGAGTAAAGGGCATCAAATATGTGGTGACAGAAAGAAATCTAACTATGGGAGGTGAACACACTGTAAATATATATATTGCCTTACTGTTAAAGTGTACAGCTGAAACTTATTGGATTTCGTTAACCGATGTCACTATAAAAAATAAATTTTTTAAAAAATGAAATCTACATTACAAATAGGTTTGCGACAGCTATTTCTCCCCTCTCCAAATGAAAATACCCCCAAAGAGTAACTACCAAGTATTAAAAGAACTGGTTAATACTCACAGCAAAGGGCCTTCTGCAGTCTTCGGAGTTTCATGGCGGTCCTATAAGCTGAGAACCTGACATTATTCAGGTCAGCTGAAGAAAAAAAGGAGAAACAGATCATTTGTTATTTCATCAGAAAGCACAGACAAAAATGCACAATGATTTACCAGCAACTACAACAATGACAAAAACAGGCTAGGAAAAAAAAAATCTCTTGCATATGCCCCAAGTTTTAGGAGTAGAATTCTGTCAATGTGGGGGAAAACAAAACAAAACAAAACATCTTTTTGCTCTTTGACAATCAGGAAAGCTAAGTTCTATGAAGTACTACAGTGGCATGGCCTGCAGGGAATTCACATAGTCCTTGTTCCCAAGGGGAAAAAGGACAGTATTTTTTTTTTTTCTAGATTGCAATCTTGGCTCTATTTTAGTGAATCTTTGGTATTCATGATTAAAGAGAACAAGGGTACATTATCGAAACAGCTATTAGATAGTACTTAGCAAAAATCAAGTAGCAACATAACATTTTTTTTTTGATTATACAAATTAAATATGCTCACTGTGGAAAACTTGGAAATTAATGGAAAATATAAAATCAAGTAAACAAATCATCCATAACCCCATTATTTAAATATATACACTGTTAACATTTTGAGTATTACCTAACATATGTGTGTGTGATATATTTTAAAATAACATTGGGACTAAAACAAACATTTAGTTTATATCCTAAGGAGCAATCATTCTCATATTCAACACAGATTCACAACTCAACAATTTCTGCCACTCTAGTTTTTACAATGACCTGTCTATCAAGCTTCAACTCATCTTACCTAGGAGGAAGCTATATTTAGATGATGATCCTACTCAAGTTTGTGCAAGTCTTGATATATCCTGGGCTATATTTTTATCTAGAGTTTCTGTGTTTTTATGTTTCAGGAATCCATTTCCAAAAAGCTCCTTGAAAACAAGTACTCTGTCTCCTACTTGTCATATTTCCTAGTGATAATATATGACTGCTCTCCGAAAAAGTAGGTCAAATACAGCTAGGGGACTGATTAACAGACTCAATGAATAAATGAACAAAAGAGATAAAGAAAAAAAAACAACATCCTGGCAAATATGACTCACTACCATAATCAAATGGAACCCACAACACCAGTTCTAATTGGGGGTTAGAAAAGAGAAATAATTTAATTAATATCCAAGTCACGTGAGTCAACATTATTAGCTTTATGGGCTTTGCAGAAACCAAATATAAAAACCTGAATTGAAATTGGAAGAAAAATGATGTCTGTAATTTGCTTTAAAATATTCAGCAGACAAACAAAAAGACTGACAATACCAAATGCTGACAAGGACATGGAGCAACTGGAACTCTCATACATTGCTGGTGGGAATGAAGTATAGTATGACTACTTTGGAAAACAAGTTTAGCAATTTCTTATAAAACTAAACATATATCTGTCTTATTTACCCCAAAGAAATAATAACATGTCCACAAAAAGATGAATACATGAATGTCCATAGTAGCTCTATCGATAAAAGCCAAAAACTGGAAATAAACCAATAGGAGAATGAATAAACAAACTGTGGTACGGTCATACAATGGGATACTACTCTGCAATAAAAAAGAACTGGTGATCATGAAACACTGTGAAATGATCTGAAAAACTTGATGCTGGGTAAAGGAAGCCAGACACAAAGAGTAAACGCTGTTTGATTCCATTCATATGAAATCTAGAAAAGGCAAATCTCACCTACAGTGACAGAAGACAGATAGTTGTCAGCCTGGGGTAAGGTGGGTATAGGTAACTGAACAATACCACAAGGGTATTGTTTAGTTGACTGAAATGTTACATATCTTGATTGGTGTGGAGGTTACATGAGTACATAGATTTGTCAAAATTCAAACTGTACACTTAAATTGGGTGCATTTTATTGTTTAAATTATGCCTTAGTAGATGTTAAGAGTTTTAAAAAACCCTCACATGGACAGTACGATATGATGTATGTGTGTATTAGCTCAAGCTACACTGCAGCAGTGGTCAGTTATCTTAATCAGGAATGCACTCTCCAGAGGCGGTTGGCTAGCAATTAATCAAAAAGCCTCACTCCAGAGGCGGCCGCTGTAAGTGCTTCAGCTATATTTAGCTCCTATTATACCAGGAGTTTCATTAATTATCCTAATTAATGTTAGATGGGCTTGCATTGGTGATACTAGTGGTTTGCAAAATTAGGGAACTGTCTAAAAGGTTTAGAAACATTCCCCGCCCTTATGTTAAACCGGGTGTGAGAATTATCTAGTAGTACCTCCACCTTTAGAAATGGTGCTCTAGGCTGAATTCTAAAATGTCCATTGGTTCACTAGATTCTCGATTGCACGAATTTAATTAGATGGTTGACAGAATCCTGCTGTTATAGCAGGGGGTCTCCAACTTGAATATATATCAGAATCACCTGGAGGGCTAACTAAAAAATACAGATTCCCTGGCCCCACTCCCAGACTTTCTGATTCTGTAGCTCTGGAGAGGGCCTGAGAATCTGCGTCTCTACCAAATTTCCAGGTGATATTGATGGTCTGGGACCACACTTTGAGAACCATTGTTTTAGAGGACTGTGGCTGGTATGGATAGTGAGGCTCTTAAGCCAAGCACTCAAAAAGGCAGAGCTGTGACTTCGGTTTGCCTCTGGCACAGGTTTTACGATTGTTTTGTGCTCCGTGGCTAATAAATGTTCACATGTGACTGGAGCTTGTTCTGAGACTTGTTTTTGATACAAACTGGTAGCCAAGATGTGGCTAAGTGGACAGCCCTCATCCACACCTAACCATGAGTGGCTACCAACACCTATCAAACAGAAGCTGTGTGGGTCCTTGTTACCCAAAGTGCAATTTGGGAACCAACAGTGCAGTATCTCTTTGGGGGTTGTTAGAAATGTAGAATATCAGGCTCCATCCGGATCTATGAATCAGAATCAACATTTTAACAAGATCCTCAGGTGATTCATATGGACCTTCTAGTACAGTAGTCTTTAACTGTATCTTTTAATAACGTTTTTTATACCATGTTCAAGTTCAAATATAAACTCTGTATAAAGACCTGTGTCGTGTTCTGTTTATCTTTCTACATTCCATTTTGTGGTACTCCAGGAGATTATTTAATGACTATTACAGTCGATTAGACTAAAAACTCACCTCTGGAATATAGTTGTGGGTCTCTTGTTTATGATGAACAACAATAAAAGTTATTCAAAAAACTAAACATGTCTAAAAGTTTCTTGAGAGTCTACAGATTCCTTCTCTTTGAAGTGAATTAACTTTTCCATGGACCTTGTTCTCTGGTAAATAGAACTTGATTTATCTGGGTACCTCTGATTCTCCCCTTCATTCTCACTCCCCACCAAGAATCGTGGTTCTTCCTTTGTCTCTTTTCTTCAGTCATCATTGCTTATTTTTTGGGTGGTCTCCGCCAACTCATGGTGTGAGTAGTCTTGTGGCACTAATCCATGAGAAACTAATTCTTGTCCTGCCCTCCAGATTAGTGTAAACACCATTTGCCAGTACGATCAGACTTTCCCTATACTTGCTAGGGCAGACTTCCTTCACATACATTCATGAATGAGTCCCTTTGGCTCTTTATAAAATAAGGAATGTAGAGACACAAAAATGGACTTCTAGTCAAGCACAGATCAATTTTCCCTTACCAACCCGTCTGTAACAGTTTCCAAAGACTAGGCCCCCAATTCCAATTAACTTTCCTTTCATTCATTTACTTTTACAAAAGTATGGAGCATGCACCATGTGCCAATCAAACAACTTGGTGGAAGATACTGGGGAAACTTTTCTCTTCTTTTTCCTTTTCTTTCTAAACCTTTTCAATTGCCTCTTAACTCATCTGTCTAGTTTTCTATCTTCCTTCTTCATAAAAAATAAGATCACTCTTATGACCCCCATTCTTCTCCCCTTTCCAATTTCCCTGTTTCTATTCAGAATTCAGAACAAATGATCTAAATGAGGTCACAGAACCTCCATCCAAATCTCACAGTTAATATCAAGAATTGGCATATTCCAGGAGCTACAGATCCAAGTGGGAGAGGCAAGGATGATCTGATTTTTTCAGGGCGTGGTTCCCTGTGGAATACTATTGGAGACAAGCATCTGGAACATTTCTGCTCCAGCAGTGCTCTAGGCTTCCCTAAAGCAGTTCAAACTTTCGTCCCTTCCATATCCTTTTCACTGTGGCACATTCTGCCTCAAGTTAACCTTCCCTGACACCCTTTTCAGCACACTCTTAACCCACTGCAGAGAGCAAGCCTTCTGCCACTAGTTTTCTATGCACCAGAGTCCAACTAGTTCTCAAACAGTGATTGGGGGATACATGAATAAATCAGCAAGGAAAATATGTAGTTTTCATCATACTGCAACAGAAGCCATACAAATTTATATCCAGTAACCGCCAGTGAATTGCAACAGAGTTATGGTGCCCTAAAAGTCCTACTCAAGAGAGTTAACCATCTGTGTTGTTTGAGTCTGCATGTGTTGCTAGGAATCTGTAGCACCACGCCCTCTGGCTTACAGCTGGAAGAGATAAGTCTCTGACTTGTGAAAGTGTGTAGGATGTACACAGAAACCTCAAGATGTGGTACAGCTGTGGACAATGTGACATTGTCCTGGACTGAGGCTGGAGTTGACCTTGTGGCTAAAGTATGCATGCAGAATAAAGAACTCCCTCCCCCCAGGTTCCCATCCCCCGTGGGAGGCTGGCCTCTACTTTCCCTGGGAGCTGCCTTTCCAGGACTCTGATCCAAGTTGTAATGACCTCACTAACTCTCACGACCGGAACTTGAGGAGTGAGACTATCCAAGAAATGAGTTTCACAATGTTTCCATGGCAGCTGGTAGAAAACGCACTTTAGAAGGCTAAAAATGCTGAACTATATACATTTTTTTTCATGACTTGAATTATTTTATCCAGGGCTAGTTCTAGCCTAAAAATAGAGAAATCTAGAAACTCAAGGAACAAGGGCAAATATCAAACCATCTACCCTTTAAGCTGAATCACCAGCTACTGAAGTGATGGTCCATTTGACTTT